TTTAACAACAAAAATGGACATAGCTATTTTTGGGCAAATGAGTGTATATTTAATCATTTCTGAGAAACTTTTATTTTCGGAGATTTTTTCAGGAATTTATTGGTACAGTAATTTACTGTCATCAAAGGTTGGTGTACCAAAAAGGTATATTTTTTCTCAATTTTAACAACAAAAATGGACATAGTTAAGTATTTTAAGACAAATGAGTGTATTTTTAATCATTTTTGAGAAAGTAGCAGTGAGTAGTAATTTACTGTCATCAAGGTTGGTCTTCTTATTTTCTGTCTCCTGGGGGCGAGTACACTAAATGAGCAGGGAAGAGAAATTAAACTGGACAAATCCAGTACAGACAAGATTGACTACAGCCAGAACAAGTATTAGTGTTATTGCATTTACTTTATTTGTCTTTGCAGAAGTGAAAAAGGAGGAGGAGGACATTCAGGTTTGTGCTAGATGGAGAGTTGTTTTTAACTTTGTCAAAATAAAGTATTTTTACTTGTTACTTGACTTGTTGTTTCATGTAGTTGTGAAATTCTAGTAGATTGTAGTGGTTAATTGAAGTGTTTTGTAACATGCTAGTGCTAAACACTTGGTGTAGACATCTGAGAGCATTTGTATTGAATGTTGTCTTTATTTCATCTTGTGTTTCAGGTCAAAAGAAGAGGTTTAACCAAGCTGTTCCACTCCTGATGATGGGACCTTTGACCTTTGTTGAATTCTGTGAGTATGTGAGCGGTCATCTTGAGTTACTGTTGTAATTTGACTTGTATTCAAATGTGTATGTATGGACTTTGTAAATGTGTAAAAGTGTTTTTGCTATTAAAAGACTGAAATGTTTTTGTTCAATTATTGTGAAATATTGTGGTTGTTTTTTTTTAACTTACTGCTTGGAACTAAACAAAACTAAAACTTAAAATAAAAAACTAAAAAAAAAAACCTAAAAAAAACCTATACCATACCCTTGACTTTGACAATGCACGCCCTATAAGGCAATGAGAAATCCCATTCATATTTTCCCATTTTTGCTCAACTTCTGTAAATAAATGCAAATCACACACAACAATTTTCTTTATTCTGGAAGGATCGCAATGGAAGTACAATGGCCAAACAGTTCTGCTGAACGAGTCTCTTGGATGAGAGGTGAAACCCTAACCCTGCCCTCGATGTAACTATTTTTGGAACAATCAAAACCTGTGTTGGTGTCATTTACCTCTTGCCGTCAGGGTGGAAAGCCACACAGTTGATGGGAACAAAATGACCTTTGACTCCAGCCAAACACCTCTTCGTACGCAGCTTGGAAGAACCTGCAGATTAGAAGAACACGTATATATTTCCCATAACATGACAGTGTGCTGCTACTCATGTTTGTGTTTCACCTAGTTGTGTGTTTTTATTGTTGTTTTAGTGCTGTACTGCTGCTGGAACTCCCCAGGGATTCAGAAACTTCTATCACATGCATTTTCTTTTCAAGCACGGGTCTCGCTGTCCCACAGTCGACAGCTGTCGTCAGCTGATCCTGTCAAGACATTTTTTGGTGTCCCCTGAGAAGAGCCAGTTAGGGAACGTAGCATGTATCATGGCAGCAATTCATGAGCGTAGGCTAGGGTCAACTGTGTCATGATTACACATTTACTTGGTTCAATAACAGTCAGACAATGAATTACAATATTATAATTATTATGCTTTTGATGGTTTCACAACACGGTGCTGTTCCATGATAACATAACCTTTCATGTCATAACATTGTTGCAGTATGCCAGTCTGTTGTGTCTGTTTTAGGTAACGAGTCGTTCCACCTGTGTGGGGAGACATTGTTGAAGGTAAATGTTAAAAGGCTTCAATGCAATCATGGCTTCACTTTATAAATTATTGTTTGCTCTACATTACTGGCGCCACCAATAACCTCAGGAGAGAAGAAATCCATGTTGTACTATTTTCATTTTAATCTGAATGAAAATAAATCAATTCTACTGGCCAAAGTCTACTTTTCATGATTACAAATATGATTTTCATATCACACACACTATAGAGCGTATAGTCTTATGTTTGTAAAATCTGCAAGTCTAAACTAGCTGAGGATTACTCTGCTACTCGACTAGCAAACTAACTACTATCCTATAGTCATTGGTGGCACTTGTTAAGCTCAATCATTTCGTGTCACTTACTGGATCTTTAGCGAAGGAAAACTGAAGGTCTCCTTCTCCGCTGTACTTGATCTGAGTGATGGACCGTCCGTGGTCCTGCAGTAGGATGGGTTTCTGTACAGAAAAACAATATTTGCAAGTTCATTTCATATTTTCAAAAAGGTGCATCACCACAACAACCATATGTTCATTATTTAGAACGGAAAAACTAACTACGAATCATTTTAACTTCTGACCAAAGCTAACGTTAGCTGTCGAGACACATATGATATCATAAATTGCACTAACGGTCTCGAACGAAAGACTACCATTTCAAACAAAATACAACCGTCAATTGTTTTCAAAAACCCACCATTTCAATCAATCACATGTTTATTTTATTGTCTCAGAACTTTTTCTTTGATAGAGAGAGCGTGCCTTGGCGACTGTAACAGAAAAACGTATTGGTTAAAAATGTACAAAAAATTAAATTGCATTAAATTGCAAATTGCAATGTATGCAGAAACTTGGATTGGTGGATTAAATTAGTCAATGCATTTTTTTTATCTACCATAATTGAAAACATATATACTGTATATACACATAAATACATATATATATTTCCACTGCATTAATTTAATATATATTTACTCATATAAAAGAAAGATACTTTTTATATACATTATATTTCTGGTTCTGATTAAAGTCATGTAACTTTATGAAGGCTTTATCAAGACAACACAGAAAGCATATCTATATTTTAACAGTTGCAATGTGAACTCCAAGCCGTGTGAGGCGGCAAAGAAACGAGAACAATAATCGCAATTGAGACGAAGAAGCTGCTCAGCCCTGGGCGTCTCTTAGAGCAGGAAGTGGAATAACAACAAAAACCACATAGACCTTTTATATGTAAAGTCATGGGCTTTATCTTCAAATCTATAACATAAATTAATCAGGTAAGTATATTATCTTAGTGCAACGCGTGTCTTGTTATTTACAGGTGCTTTAGATAGCTTAGTTAGCTTTTTTCCGCCAGATGTTAGCTTAGCTGCAGATGTAAAAATGTCGAGTTCTTATTAACAGTAAGTTAATGTTGCATTTAAAATTTCGCTTAATATATAAGTATGATAACTGTATAAGCGAGCTGCTAAATCACTGGTTTGCCAGTGTAGATAGAGTCTCTGTCAGTTAGGTATCAACGTAATATAAAGGAAAATTGTTCATATAAAAATATTTGGGAATATTAAAAAGATTTAATGCAGTGTTAATATACAGACGATACTGAAAACGCCTAAAGACAGTTGGTAGAGACTGTGAGTTTGCTGCGATGTCTTTAACTTAAATGTGTTTTATTGCACAAAATATTTTAGTTAAACGTGTGGAACATTTAGAAAATAAAATCAATAAAGGAACAGGTAGCTTGTGACCTAGCATCATTTTCTTGCAGATATAAGATGATGTATGGGTCTATTTTCTATTGTTTTATAATTCTTCACTTTTAGAGAAACTATGGAGGAGACCAGTCGGGAGGCAGTTGCCACAGCAGTGCAGCGTGTAGCAGGGATGCTGCAGAGGTCGGATCAGTTGGACAAAGTGGAGCAGTACAGAAGGAGGGAGGCTCGCAAAAAGGCCTCCGTGGAAGCCAGACTAAAGGTGACCAGGGGATTTCATGTTATAATAATTTCTCTGATTTGACTGTCACTCAGAATGTTTGGTAATTATACTGGAAATTTAATTAGAGGCTTAGTTATGATGAACAACAATAAGGAGGAAAAATACTGCAAAAACTATGGTTCTGGTAACACAGAAACATTCCAATAATAAAACTATGACTATTGGTAATTTACAATATTTGTTTTGTGGTTGTCACCAGGCAGCCATCCAGTCACAACTGGACGGTGTTCGCACTGGACTTACCCAGTTACACAGCGCCTTGCTGGATGTCAAAGACATCCAGGGCTCACTGGTTGATGTGAGTAAAGACTGGAGGCAGAGCATCAACACTATTGAGAACCTGAAAGACGTCAAGGATGCTGTAGTTCAACACAGTCAGCTGGCTTCTGCTGTGGAAAACCTTAAAAATATTTTCTCTGGTGAGTTCATATTATTTACATTACATTTATTTACAGATATGAAAATAATTTCCAGACCTGCTGGCCAGCCAATCAAATTAATGCAGTGGAAAATGGTTAAAAAAGGATTTTTCATTTCATTCATTTGTCATTTTCAATGACAATGTTCTATGTTTTTTTATGCAAAGTGCCAGAGATTGTAGAAGAGACGCAGCAGCTGATAGAGCAGGCGGAGCTGCTGCAGGCTCATCGCAAACTAATAGAACTGGAGTGTTCCAGGGATGACCTCATGTATGAGCAGTACCGTATGGACAGCAGGAACACCAGTGACATGAACCTGATCTCCATTTACTTTGAGGATGTAAGTACATGTTACATTGTCAGATATTATAAAAATGTGACAAAAGAAGTAAAAGAAAGAAGTTGTGTTTATACTTTGTTTTGTTTCGTTTTGTTACTTTCAGGTTCAAGGCCTATCGGACGATCTGGCAAAACAGTTGTGGATGGTACTGCAGAGGGCAATGGTGACAGTTCGCCGTGACCCCACTATGCTGGTGTCCGTGATACGCATCATTGAGCGCGAGGAGAAGATTGATCGACGGATGGTCGACCGCAAGAAGCAGACTGGCTTCATTCCACCTGGTCGACCAAAACAGTGGAAGGACAGGATGTTCCAGGTACGATGCAAAAATGACACAATAATAATAACAAAATTCTTGAAAACAGGTCACATGATCCACAGTAAAGAACGTTTTTAGCCTTAAGGGAAATACATTGTAACTGATCTTCCAAAAACTTAAAAGCATGAGTCCAAAACGGTGCCCTCTTGTGGCCAAAGATGATGTACGGTATATTTTTGATATGTACTCTGTATGTAATCTGTGCCTGTTGCAGGTGTTGGAGAGAACAGTCAGCACTCGCATTGAGGGCACACAGTCAGTGACCAGAGAGGAGGATAAAATGTGGCTGGTTCGTCTACTAGAAATTATGAGGAAATATGTCCTGGACGACCTCATCATCGTCAAGAACCTCATGGCTCACTGCTTCCCTCCACACTACAACACATTCAACAGGTAACAGCAAGAATGCATTTCTTCAGTAACGTGTGTTCAGATGTGACGGTGGTCTTGACTTGACCTGTTTGTTCCAGGTTTTTCAGTCTGTATCACAATGCTGTGTCCTCTCGTGTCAAAGAACTGGCCTTCGAGGATCTGGAGGCCAATGAGATCGTGTCGCTGCTCACCTGGGTCCTCAACACATACAAGAGGTACACACACAAATACACACTAGCACAGACATTTTGATGTCTAATGTAAAGAAGCTGGACAAGTAGGGAAGAGTCGAATGGATGGTCAAAGCATGTGTGTTTTTGTGTTTCAGTGCGGAGATGATGGGCCACCCTGAGATCCAATCAGAGTGTGATATCAATCTGCTGGAGCCTCTGCTGCCTCAGGGTGTGGTTGATGACCTGTTCAGCAAATATGTCAAGACCTTTACAGTAAGAGCCAATCACATTAAGAGAGAGAGAGAGAGGCTCACGATATGAAAAAATATCTCGCCTTCCATCTTTATCATCTTCATGCACAAAGGAAACACCAGGCTGAGATAAACTACCAATATGCCTAGGATGATGAAACCTCAGGTCTGTAAGACAGTAGTGAGGCCTGCTATCTTGTTTGGTTTAGACACGGTGGCTCTGTCCAAGGAGATGAAGATGCTGAGATCTTCACAGGGAGTGATGAGCAGATCAGAGGGACAGTTAAGGTGGAGCAGATTAGAGATGACGTTAGATGTTGGAGATGGAATTGTCAGGCAAGAGGAAACACCCAGAGAGGATGGAGATGTTTGTTATAATAGCAGAGGAGATGGGGTGACATGGAGGCATCCCCTGATGGGAGAAGCCGAAGAAGGAAAAAGTTTGCCTATCTTGTGTAACGTTACACCTTTTTCGTCCCGTCTTCAGTCTAATATAACAGGTTGGCTGCGGAAAGCCCTGGAAACGGATAAAAAAGACTGGCACAAAGATACAGAGCCTGAGGCTGACCAAGATGGGTTCTACCAGACCACACTGCCTGCTATCGTCTTTCAGGTACACACAGTTTTAACATCGACTTCCATTCCTTTTACAGCCCATTGAGCACTTAATAAGACCTTTATAGGAACTGGCAGAACGCCCCGGGCTTCATAATTAAAATTTAAAATCAACGTGATCGCAGTCTTTGTCTGAGTGTGATGTGGCTTTGCTCTTCTCTCAATCAGATGTTTGAGCAGAACCTACAGGTTGCTGCACAGATTGATGGAGAATTCAAAGAGCAGGTTCTCAAGCTGTGCCTGAAACAGATGAATACTTTCCTTCTCAGGTATTTTATTTATCTATTTCACGATCTTCCTCTTCTTATATATCTAATTTATTTTATTGGTTACCTAATGACAGTAAAACTACAGTTCACATAAAATGACATTAAAATAAAAAAAGTCCTGTCTTTTGGAGACATCAGCCAAATAGATTACTATTAAAATACATATTTATGTTGACTGTTTTGAACTTGAACTTTTAAAGGTACAGAGAGGAGTGTGTCACCTTCAAAGAAGACCACCTGAGAGACCGACAACTCCCACAGTGTTACGTTCAATATATGATAGCCATCATCAACAACTGCCAGACATTTAAGTGAGTTTTATGTTGCATACATTCTGGTGTGTGTATGCTGTAAGTGGTCTTTGGTTGTTCATTACAAAACTACTACAAAACAACAAAGTCCCCTGAGGCCGTGGGTGGAGCTCTACGTCTATCAATTCATCATCGTTTCTTCTGGGTTTCATGTGAAAACACAAAAGTCTTGTTCTGTGCGTTTGCCCAGAGAATCCATCAACAGCCTAAAGAGGAAGTATTCCCGATCATCAGAGGCCACAGAGAGTGACGCTGCTATTGAGAGGACCCTGAACGAGGTGGTCAAGGAAGGATGTCAGTTCCTTCTAGACGAAGTCTTCCTTGACCTTGAGGTACGAGCTGACGTGGGTGTGTGTTTGCATTCATAACAATAACACACCAGCCACACTGAAATGAAAGATCATGTTTAGCCCTTTGTCTCACTTTGTTACACTGTTTTTTCTTACTTGATACCAAAGTTGGTTTGTACAAAAAAGTTGATATTCTTCTGCAACGCCATCACATGTGAGATTAAAAATGACATTGGAGGCAATCAAAAACATTTAAATCAACCAAGAATACCAGGAAAATTCTGATTGGGGCTTGGTGACAAACGTACTGGTAACTTCCTGGTCCAACAGAAATACTGAGATGATTGTTGTGCCTTTATCTGGCTGTTTTTTTTTTTATTCACATCAACTAGATGTTTGTTTGGACCAAGCAGCTGTAGCCAAGGCTTTGTCTGCAGCCTCCACAGAAGAGAATGTGTTCCGGCAAAGAACACTCTGTTACAATATCACTGTCTGTTTAATGCCAGAATCATCTTAATGACCTGCTGACCAGAAAGTGGCTGACAGGCTCCCACGCAGTGGACACCATCTGTGTGACCGTGGAGGACTACTTCAATGACTTCAACAAGATCAAGAAACCATTCTGTCAGGTTGGCTTAACAAAGTCACAAGAAACACATATATACACATACATATATATATATTTCCTCACAGTTACTTTCCTACCACAGTATTCTGCCTATGCTTTAAGACTTTTTTTTTTTCCTGGTTTTTGATCATTCTGATCTACAGAGTCAGGTTGCGGAGCTAGCTAAATGTTAATGTTTTTAATAACGAGATTCTGTATGTGACGCTATGCTAACAGGACATGACAAATGAGGCCTTGCGCCGGGTGGTGGTGGAGTACATCAAAGCCGTGATGCAGAAGAAGATCACGTTCAGAAACGCTGAGGAGAGGAAAGAGGGAGCCGAGAGGATGATCAAAGAGGCCGACCAGTTCAAGTTCCTCTTCAGAAAACTGGCTGATGTGAGCACACATAATATTATTTCCCTGCACGGCAACATGGTAACAATGACTTTGAATGCACCATTACTAATACAAATCTCTATGTGCAGGGTGAAGACACAGAAAAGCTGTGCGGTGCCATCACTGCTATCGCAGAGGTGTTTAAGCTGACTGACCCCACACTCCTCTTCCTGGAGGTCACCACGCTGGTGTCCAAGTATCCTGACATCAGGTAAACCACAGGGGTCACGCACAAATACAGCAGCTGGGGTCATCACAGCACAGGGTGATGCCACATTACCAGGCATTAATTTACTCTCCTTTCTATTCACAGAGAAGAACACATCCAGGCGTTGCTGGCTGTGCGAGGTGACGCCAGCAGGGACATGCGCCAGATGATCCTTGGTACCTTCAGCGAGAACAAAGCGTCCAACTCTTTGGTAACACAGCCCATCTTTAAGGACATCACTGTGCCTACCATTTCCATGCCTACAATGACCACCATGACCTCCATGGCCACAGCAAAGCTGCTGAAATAAAGCTGATTTCCCACTCTTCATCAACATCAGACACCATTATACCTAATTAATTCTACATAGTTTTATGACACATTTGTTAATGTTGTGTTCTCTGTGATTTTTCCCTAAAAAATGTCTAATTCCAGCTGTAAAAAGAATAATAATAAAATAATGAGTTGTAAAAAAAAAAGGCTGCAGTTTTATGTCTTTCATGTACCAGGTCACAGGGACTTTGGGATGTTGATCAGTACTGGCTTGGAATGGGATTAAACATGTGTCTGAATAAAGAAAATAACTGCTTTAATGCACACTAAATAAATTGTCTTGATTAATGTGGAACCCCTTAACATGCCCAGCGCTAATATATATCCTCTTTTTGTCTATAATCTTCTTTTTTTTTTTTAATTTAGCTTCTTTGTTTTACTTGTATGAGTGTATGCTTTTGTAATTACTGTGTTTTTGCTGTGGGGACAAATAGTAGAAATATCTATTTGTCTGGGGGTGGGCTATGGCAGGGACGGGGGCCACTTTCGCCCAGGGTGGGCTACGACCACCACTGGCGTCTGTTCGACGAGGCACAGGTACAGTAGCTTGCAGGTAATAGTTGTATTACGTTTGCGTCCTATTGGAGGCAGTAATGCACTAACGCGCCTTGAAGACAGAGCGAAGAAGAAGAAGAAAGACGGCCGCAGCACAGTAGGCTGTTGCTGCACGGTGGTGGAGATGTTTACCATGGATAAGTCTGTGTAGCTAATGTTGCCGTCTCACTGACCTCCCCTGTCTCCAGCCTTACGTTCCTGCCCAGGACAGGAACAGTGCAGCCTGAATCGGGTACGTGTTACCGTCTGTTCACGCGGCTAATGTTACTACCGATGTTTAGCGATGAAGGGATGCTTAAAGCAGCTGATATTTTTTTCACTGACGTGAGCAGATAATCGCCGCTGCCGTCAACAACAAAGCCCTTCTGCAACACTACTGTGTAATCTCAGCACTTATCTGTTACACTGGGCTGAAATGAAGTGATGTGAAGAAAAGCAAACGGAATCGTGGTTTTTGCTATTGTGCACTGTTAGCCAAAGTCGCGCAGGTTTGGACGGATAAACAAGCTAGCATCAAGGCTTCATTGATCGGTGTGCAATCTCATCAGCAGCGCTACGTTTTAGGAATACGTGCAGTATGCGACGGGGCGACTATACGTAAATACTGAAGTTACTCTGTGTTTTTGCATCACGGATTTCTGTACGAGTAAACTGCAACCCGGATTATATTCAAAATCTAGTTGGAATATATCAAAATCGTCACCAGTGTATACGTATCTGCAACGTATTTTAACATACACGCACCGCTCGATAAAATAATTAATATTGTGAACAATCGAGCGTCTGCAACACCATTAGAACATTTAAAATAAAATAAAGTTTGAGATAAAAATGTGTGCCAAAATGTATAATCCGAGTACTGTATCTACTGAAAGAGGAATTAAAAATCCATCTCTAAAGTAAGATGCCTCACACAGTGTAGTGTTACCTCAGGGATGTAGGAAAAAGTTGCAATGTAGACTATAAATTAAAAAAAATTTACAGCATAGTCACTAGAACATGTACAAATCTATGTTTTTATCTTTTCAGGTACATTGAATTTGAAGTTTCTCCATCTCCATCCTTTGTCCAATCATGGTGGACTACTACCAGGTGTTAGGAGTGAGAAGAGATGCTTCGGCAGATGACATAAAGAAAGCGTGAGTGGTGTCAAAACCCATCTGATTAAAACATGTGTCCATTACGTGGTAATGTCAACTAGAATTGGTATTTATTTAGTCTCTGTGGCAACTGTTGGCAAGGCTAGGTCCTTGTATACTTTTGAAACTCTTGCCTAAACAAAGCCATGTCTTATGTTCACTAACTGCTGACATCATCCCTCTGTGTGCAGATACAGAAAACTGGCGCTCAGATGGCATCCTGATAAAAACCCAGAGAACAAAGAGGAAGCCGAGAAGAAGTTCAAGGAGCTGTCGGAGGCCTATGAAGTACTCTCTGATGGTCTGTACACTACCATGTGTGAATGAGCTAATACAGCATGGCTAATGAAACGCAGCTAATGGCAGTGGTGAAGGGTCTCCGGGGAGCAGAGATATTACTTCAGCTGCTCAGATGTATTTTGTTTTGTTTTTTTGCAGCCAACAAGAGGACCATATACGATCAATATGGCAAAGAGGGACTGACTGGGAGCAACCGAGGAAGAGGTACGTGAAACACAACCAACAAACCAAACTGCGTCAGCTGTTGTTCTGTTCAACAACATTACAATATATCTATACCACACATGATGACAAATGTTTAGTTCAGTGATGTCACACTATTTAACCAAGAGTCACTACAAACAGAAACCTCATGATCCATGATACCTTGATTAATGACTCAGCAAATATTTGTTGCAGAAGGCCGGTATTACAATGGAGATCATTTCCACGAACACTTCACATTCCGCAACCCTGAGGACGTCTTCCGGGAATTCTTCGGTGGCAGTGACCCATTTGCACATTTTTTTGGTGAGTACTTTTTATTATAAATCCCTTTAATCATAGCCTGTATCACAAAGTGAATTATCTCCTGTTCTTTCAGGTCCAGATCCTTTTAGTGAAGATCCCTTTTTCAGCAGCGGTCAGCAGCATCAAAGTTGTGCGACTCGCTGTCGAACAGGCAACTCGTTTTTCAGAGGTTTTGTTGGTTTTCCCCCATTTGGAGCTGGCTTCTCTCCATTTGACCCAGGTAAGAAGTGCAGCCTTGGATTAAGTTGATATGGTGAAAAAACTGTGATCTACTTGCAAGAGATTCTTTCTTTTTTTTTTACTTTAGGCTTTGGGACCTTTGGCTCCATGAACAGCATGGGTCACATGACAACAATGGGCAGTCTCGGAGGTGGAGGCTTCACCTCTTTTTCTTCTTCCTCCTTTGGTGGTGGAGGAGGGGGGGGGGGAGGGGGGGGCGGAGGAGGAGGAGGAGGGATGGGCAACTTCCGCTCCGTGTCTACCTCTACTAAGATCGTCAATGGCAGGAAAATAACCACTAAAAAGTAAGATGCCACCAAACACCCACATCGCCTTATATCAAATTGGCCGCCCTACTAAATCCATTACAATCAGGGATGTCCAGTATTAACTTTAATGCTGATATTGTCCAAACACTTAATTTATCTGTACAAACCACCATATGAGTTGCTAGCACCAGCATACAATCCCCTGATTATTAAAATAGATTAATTAAATGAGCTGCAATGCTGCCATCTAGTGACTTTCACTTTCATATAGCCGTTTATCACATCATTTGGCAAAACCCAGGCATTGCTTTATCAGGTTTTCATTATTGGGGGAAAAACGGTAACGATTCCTACATATATAACATAATTATGCTAATATATATCCCTAATTACAATCTAAGAATGAATTGCAAAATTCACCCATCAGCAATTCCTCTCACTGCAGCATTTACATGGAGCTGAACAGAGTTAATGGATGAAGCCAGAAAAGCTTTGACTGAATTTGAGTGATCAAATCAAAGTGCATCTGATTTAAAAACAATTGTCTCATTCTCCGGTTTCCACTTTTGTAGAATTGTGGAGAATGGGCAAGAGAGGGTGGAGGTAGAGGAGGATGGACAGCTGCGGTCACTAACCATCAACGGAAAGGAACAACTCCTACGACTGAAACACAAGTAATGGACGCCACGCCCTCTGCTGTGCTGGCGACACCCATCACTGACACAACAACAACAACAACACACTTGAGCTTGAACT